GCGAAACGTTAGGAAACAAAACTTCCAGAACATGGCCACACAGCCTGGAAGACCCACACCAACCATCATTTGCAGGCTTGGCCAACTCGTGGCTTATCAAGAAAACTAACAGTCATTGCATTTTCTCCTAGGATTAAGTGGTTGACCAAAGTAGAGTCTCCAATTATATATCCAATGATGAATTACTGCCTTCCCAATGTGGGGATGGTTCACATATCTGTGCGCATACATGCGATTGTCAAAAGTCACACTCCAAAAAAGACAGGCCCAGAATAAAAATAATGTAAAAAGATTTAATAAAATGTAATAGCCATTCAAATAAGGAAGCAAATTGATTCTTATGTACATGCAGCCACCATTATCTCTCACACCCAAACATCCCCTTTCCGACTTCCAACAGAAACAACAAAAATACAAGAAATTGAGGTAGTTTTACTGGAAATGGGGGGGGGATGCAGAGAGGAATAGGACTGCAGATGTTTCACTGGAAGAATAAATAAATGGATACAGAAAGGAAGAAAAGAGAGAAGTCCACCTCTGGCCTTAATTAAATTTCACACACACACTCCCCTGGATTCTAGCCTAGTGCCTTAACCACTAGATCAAATTGGCTCTCTTGCCCTTCCTTGACTCTAACTCACTTTCTTTAATCATAATCCATCCCCTTTCCATTTTGACGTTGTGATCAGAAATGGAATCACTTAAGTTCTTTCCACCCTGCATGCATGTACTGTGTATGGCCTCTCCCCTATGTGGCTCCTTTTACAAGAAGTTCACTACCCTGAATGAAGCTCCTTCCATTTTATAAGCTGCCAGCTGGGTTCTCCCTTGTGTGGATCCTTTTATGAAAAGAGAGGGAAGTGTTGTGACTAAAACTCCTTCCACAGTCTCTGCACTGATATGGTTTCTCTCCTGTGTGGATCCTCCTATGTGAAGTCAGGGAACTGCTTGTACTGAAACTCTTCCCACAGTCCATGCAATGATATGGCTTCTCACCAGAGTGGATCCTCTTATGTGAAATCAGGTCACTGCTTGTATGAAAGCTCTTTTCACAGTCTGTGCATTTATATGGTTTCTCCCCTGAGTGGATCCTCTTATGGGAAGAAAGATGACTGCTCTTACTGAAGCTCTTTCCACATTCCATGCATTGATATGGTTTCTCCCCCGTGTGGATCCTTTCATGGGAACTCAGGGAATCTCTCCGGCTGAAACGCTTTCCACATTCCATGCACTTATATGGTTTCTCCCCTGTATGGATCCTTTTATGGGATGTAAGGGAACCACTTGTGGTGAAGCTCTTTCCACACTCTGTGCATCTATATGGCTTCTCCCCAGTGTGGATCCTTTTATGGGAGGTAAGTTGACTGTTTTGGGTAAAGCTCTTTCCACACTCCATACATTTATATGGCTTCTCTCCTGAGTGGATCCTTTTATGGGAAGTAAGATCATTACTCTTCCGGAAGCTCTTTCCACAGTCCATGCACTGATAAGGTTTCTCCCCTGTGTGGATCCTTTTATGGTAAATGAGTTCACTACTTGTACTGAATCTCTTTCCACACTCAATGCATTGATATGGTTTCATCCCTGTATGGATCCTTTCATGGGAAGTAAGGGAAGTGCTCTGGCTGAAACTCTTTCCACATTCCATGCACTTATATGGTCTCTCCCCAGTGTGGATCCTTTTATGAGAAGTAAGGTTACCGCTCCAACTGAAGTTTTTTCCACACACCATGCATTGATACGGTTTTTCCCTTGTGTGGATCGTAAGTTGACTGTTTTGGGTAAAGCTCTTTCCACACTCAATGCATTGATATGGTTTCATCCCTGTATGGATCCTTTCATGGGAAGTAAGGGAAGTGCTCTGGCTGAAACTCTTTCCACATTCCATGCACTTATATGGTCTCTCCCCAGTGTGGATCCTTTTATGAGAAGTAAGGTTACCGCTCCAACTGAAGTTTTTTCCACACACCATGCATTGATACGGTTTTTCCCTTGTGTGGATCCTTTTATGGGAAGTAAGATCACTCCTAATTCTAAAACCCTTTCCACACTCCATGCATTTAAATAGCTTCTCCCCTAAGTGGATTCTTTTATGGGAAACGAGATCACTGCTTGTATTGAATCTCTTCCTGCACTCCATGCATTGATATAGTTTCATCCCTATATGGATCCTTTTATGGGAAGTAAGATCACTACTTGTATTGAATCTCTTTCTGCATTCCATGCATTTATATGGTTTCTTTCCCCCAATTGTCTTTTTATGCAAAGTAAGGCCATTGCTTGTATAGAAACTCTTTTGGCACTTTGCATTTTTATATGGTTTTTCTATCTTGATGCTTTGATGTAAAGGAATACAGAGATTCAAAGCATTATTTTTTCCACGTTCTCTGCATTCACGCTGCTTTTGTTTAAGGTGGGTTCTGCTATATTCATATTCATCTAATTTATTTCTGAACATTTTTTCACCCTCCAAACTGCTTCCTGTTTCTTTGTGATGTTGGGTATGGAAGGTGTGGTTTTGTCCATACTGAAAAATAGAGAATTTCTCCATCCTATTGTTCAACTGGTTTTCCTCAGGCACCTTTGGCTCCCCCTGATTGTCCAATATCCCTTCTCCAGTTTCAGTTCTTTGCAAAA